CACCATCATAATGACACCAATATCCATCACCATCATAATGACACCAATATCCATCACCATCATCATGACACCAATATCCATCACCATCATTATGACATCATGATGACATCAATACCCATCACCATCATCATGACACCAATACCCATCACCATCATCATGACACCAATACCAGGCCAGTAACCATGATCATTGTTAAATCAAGAGATCTAAAAGTACAGCAGATTAATATTTTAATCTGTGGTTACCTGTAATCTAATATTTGACACTTGATATGCTGCCTCCTGTCTGCCACCATTATGTTGTCCTTCAGATGGCAATGTCATTGCCTGATAATGCAATTCATTTTGATCCATTGTGTTTTTTGAATTGCTTTTTACCCCTTGCTYTTCTGGTGGGGAAAAATTCCAGTATATTTCATTGCTTTTAAAAATCCTTATTCAGACAAAAAAATATATGTAATTTTGCACTTAACATGTTTCAATTTTTTCGATGACATTTTATTACCTGTTTTCTTTCTCCTCTTTTTGTTTTTCTCAATTGATAAGCTGTAAGCTTGGTTGTCATAGCCAACATTTGTTTGCATTCTTGACTGGAAGTTCAGAGACTGATAATGTGATTCAGGTGGTTGAATGACTGCAGGAACCCTATTTACTGTTGGAATCTCTATTCATTCAAAAATAACAAACAATAAATACTTCTTTTTTGTGACCCTTCAACTTCAAATGACCATTTACAACTTTGCACTAAAGCAACAATCAATTTAATGCAGTTTTTTTGTTTGCAATTGAATTTGAAAATCAGTAGACTATGGTAGCCAGTTCTGTAGGTCCATCTGCTTTCAAAATCTATCATGTTTTTTATGAACAATGAACAAAATTTTACTTTCTACTGTAGCTTCTGTTTTCAAAGGTAACTGTCACAACAGTTTATATATATATATATTTGTATATATACGTAAACTTCAATGTTTAAATTTTAATATGTTCTTAATTGTTTGTAATTTATGTTAAGGAGGTGAACTAGATAGGGATAACCTTTTTCACCTCCTTTCACAATTTTTCATGTTTTTTGCTTTTTTTTCTCTCTTCTATTTTCTATTTACAAGGTGATGAATTGTGAATAAGCCATTATGTTATGTTATGTAATGTTAACAGTCCTTTAAAATGATCACTACTTATTGGGGGAATTTGCTTAACTACTTGAATTTTTTTCGGCCCAAATAAATTTAAGCCAATAAGGAGCAGTCATTTTCACAGTCTGTTGTGTTGCTGGGCTACTTTTGAAAACATTAGGAGCTAGACAGTAAAATTTTGTTCAGGTGACAGATTTTGATAGCCAAATTTGACTGCTGATGGAGCAAGAAAAACAACTGGGTGCAGCAATCTACTGATTTTCATAGTAACCTTGAGGGATAATGGACTTGAAAATGCATGTAACAGTCTAAGAAAGAATAACTTAGTCTGCAGTGTAGTAAAAAAAAGTATTACATCACCTGACAATTCTGTAGCTCTGGTCTCATTCTTTCTCTCCTTCTCCTTCTTCCTTATGAAGGTGCACCACACAAAACTTCCAATGATAAGAACAAGAAGAACAGCTATGAAAACTGACAAACCAATCACAGTGTCTTTGAGAACTGGGCTGCTCGAGCTCTTCACAGCTTTTTCTGTTTGGACAAAAGGTAGGAACAGGTAATCTATGATGACCATAAATTATTTATTTTAATGCATAATCCTTCCTTTCTGGAATGATAAAAGGGTAAATTATACACTGTGAAAAGATGAAAAATCTGACGTTTCGGACGCTAGTCCTTCATCAGAGTAAAAGAGCTGTCTATCTTGGTTAGCTTTCTATCTTCTTGGTTAGCTACTACAGTTATTATAGACAGCTTGTACCCTTAAATCTGTTTATTCTTATATTTTCAATTGTAATTACGGTACTAATAATTAAAATTGATTGAGAGCTCTTTTACACGTTCCAATGCTCTTTAGCTATATTTATCCTTTGCTCTTTTACTCTGATGAAGGACTAGCATCCGAAACGTCAGCTTTTTCATCTTTTGACGTTGTATAATTTACCCTTTTATCATTACTGTTTCATTAGAAACACTGACGCAGCTCAGAATAGTTTTTAGCTAGTAATCTCTTTTTTTCTGGAAGTGGCTGGCACTCCATGAAACATCCAAAATCCAATAATGACTATATGTACCAAGCTTCCTCTCTCAATGGATAATATAAGTTAATAACTTAGTTATCTATACATGCATCAGGAGTTCAAGGGGTCAGAGAGTGGGCCATGGGTTGTAAAACTTGATATATCCTAGTATCCTAGTACACTTGGTTTGGAATTATTGTGCGAATTTGCTTGGTAAGAAAAATACAATTAAAAAAAGTACTTTTTACAATCCAYCATCCCTCTTTTTGATCTCTTGAACATGCCCTTTAGAGCAAGAGCGTGGAACTTGATGCCTGTATTCTTTCCCTTCCAACCAAACTTCTTCACATGGTTCATAGTAGTATGGAAACTTACCTTGCTGAGTAATGCGTTGTTTAGTCATAAAAACCACATAAGCTGATCGGCTGAAAATCCTCCTCTGTCAAACAAAATAACTTATTATTACCATAGAGTGCATACTATGTATTGACCCAGTCGCGTAGTCTTTACGCCTGTCAATGACAAGGATTTTTTGAATTGAATGTAATCAGACAAAAGTCATTAAACTCACCCCATCCGTTGCAATGGTAACGATCCTCACATGTACTCTATACATTGATCCTGGCTGTAAAGGTGCGTTGTAGTAACTATTGTAGTACCGACCGTCACCAATCGTTAAGCTTGAGATGGGAACCAAAATCTCTGCGGTGATGTAACTATCATTACCCCTTTGAGCTGCAATGGTAACATTGACCTCGTTATAAACAAAGGGCGTTGACTGTCCATAGGATTTGAAGCATTCTTCGTTATCTCTCTTTTCTACTACCACTTGATAGAAACTGAAAAAATATATAATATTGTCAACTAAAATCGAAAACACGCTAAATTAGAAGCTAACGCTTAGGCATTTGGCATGAATGAAATCTATTCATATTTGTTTCTATTTTTACTGTGCGGCTACGCCAACCAAGGTCACCCAGACACCTTTTCATACAAATTAGCCAATCATGATTGAGTATTTAAACAATAGAATCTGTACAAATTTTCACATTTTCCTCTTTTAAATCATATATTTTACTTTATACGTGTGTGTGTATGTATGTGCTTTAACTGTTTTTAAAACCCAGAATTCTCAAATTCATTTGTTATGCAGCGTTAAAAATGTGATTTCTGAATTCAATTTAAAATTTGTGTGGGTGGTCTTGGTTGATGTAGTCGCACTGTAAGTGACTCATCAACAAATCTAAAAGGTGAAACCAACAACGATCATGGTAGAATTTGGAAAAATAATTCTACATTCAGCGCTATAGTAAATAAGCTCGGCAAATATTCTTCCGAAAGAGTTAACATGTTCTTTGTGCATTTTACCTTTTCGAGGGGCTAGCTGTATTGAACTATTAGATAATATAAATTGTTGTTTTACCCTTGCAGATGTGATTCAATTTGGCGTTTTTCCTCAAACACGATTAACACCGTTGATTCCGTGATGGCGTTGGTTCCATTTATCTTGAATAATGGAGGATCGGCTGACGACGAAAAGGAAGGTAAGAAAAAACCGAGAAAACTACAATAGCGAAATTGCACGTGCTAGTGAAACAAAATGAACGACAATTTGTAGTAAATTAGTACTTAAGTATTGTAAGATATAAATATTTTTCAACCTTGATGAAAAATACACGTGACACCAGCACAGTAGTCCCCAGGGCATCCATAGTTCGTCCATCCACGATGATAGCATTCACTAATCGATACTTCATCGCCATTGCATTCGATTCCACCTATCCACCTCCCTTGCCTTCCGACACTAAATCGCTTTATTCCGGCGAGAGCTGCTTTGCAACCAAGCATTCTACAGATCACGTGAGCATCTAATATATTCCATGTATCGTCACAGACAGCTATATTTTATCCGTTTACCGAATCCCGCAAATACCTTCAACACACCCTGTTCATGCATACGGTCAAGAAATACAAAGACCAAAGGACTATTGTGTTATTCTAAGATTAACATGCTCGTGTTGTTGGTTGAGCGAGGGTTAAGCCAATAGATGTGCAGCTCTTCTCTGAGTTTTAGAGTAAATTCGTAAGAAGCGTGATCTATTATTTCAAAAGAATCCTCAGTGCATATACATTTGCATGCTTCTGAGTTATTTAGGTGTTTACAGATATGCGACTCCTTATCCCAGGAAAGGTGTTCACAAAGGCGTGTCGATAAAAGGCGAATCATCTCACAAACATAACAGGCATTACAACCTGTACAAACAGATTTTTACGCGGCGCGTGAGCTCAATCCTCTTGGTATGGGGTCTTTGCTACTAAAATAACTTATTCTGTTTTCCTTTAAATCAAAAATGYTTTTAAGACATGAGTATGTCGATAATATATCTTAGCAAACCATTTTTATCGGGRTTTTAACTGACTTTCAACCAGATGAATAACAGAAAACTGTGTTTAATAGGTATGTGATAATTCCAATATAAAATAAATAATAATAATAATGATAATAATGAATTGCTTATAGTCATGCGTAACCTTTCTTTTCTGGAAGTGACTGTTACTCCATAAACCATCCAGAATACAATATTGACTATATGTATTAAGCTTCCTCTCTCAATTCTCGACTTTCACATCCCCATAATGCCTTGCGTCTTTAGGGGGTTACCAATCAAAAAACTGTCCCAAATTGAAAGGTTTCTTAATTGAATTTATACTATACCTGCTTTTATCTGTACAATACTGATTATCAGTTTATTCCAAGTTATTTTTGCGTGTACAGATCATCAAGAGGTTTGGTCTTGTATTGACTTACGAAAAAAATGTTTAAAATTTACCTTAAACGTCTTCAAGCTTCTATCTTTTTCTGTTTTTTTACTTCTTCATTTTATTTTTGGATACCAAACAAGGTATTGTCAACATTGTCTGATCAGCCTTCAGCAAAATAAGTGGGTTTTTACCCTCTGGTTACCCCCCAAAGACGCAAAGTGTTATGGGGATGTGAATGTCGAGAATGGATAATATAGCTAAACATAATATCTTAATATTTGTGCGCTCTTTAAAAGAATGCGTATGTTAATAACTTTGTTATCTGTACAAGGGGTCAAAGAGTGGGAACATGGGTTGTAAAAATTGATATATCTTGGTACATTCGGTTTGGAATTTTTGTGCAAATTGGGTTGGTAAGAAAAATACAATCCAAATATAGTAATTTTTACAACACTTTCGTACCCAGAGCCTGCGTTTCTTCTGGCCTGCGGTGAAGAACGAGGGCTCTGGCATAATCCATTTTTTGAGACAAGGATTTTTTGGACTTCCGGTATAACAGCGCACGCGTTCAAAGACTTGCCAAAAATAAAAAAATTCCCGATTTTTAATTCTTACTTTGATTTGACTTCGATTTAATTTTTACTTTGCTTATTTTGACCGTTTATATCTCACTTTCCGAAAATTGCGCGTGCGCCAAAGAATGGATTATGCCAGAGCCCTCGTTCTTCGCCGCAGGCCAGAAGAAACGCAGGCTCTGGGTACGAGAGTTTTACAACCCATCATCCCGCTTTTTAACCTCTTGAGCATGTGCTTAGAGCAAGAGCGTGGAACTCTTGATGTATGTATTGTCTTCCTTCCAACCAAACTTCTCCACGTGGTTCATGGTAGTAGTGTATGGAAACTTACCTTGGCGAGCAATGTGTTGTTTAGTCATAAAAACCACAAAGTCTGATCGGCTGAAAGTCCTCCTCTGTCAAACAAAATAACTTATTTTTACAATAGAATGCATACAATATATCCGTGAAAAAGTTAACTAACAAAATTGTACAAATAAGTGCAAAGTTTTGTACGTCTACGGTCTACTGAGGTCTACTGCTTGTGCAATTTCTTACGACGTTTTTCACGGACATAATATGGTATGCACTCAACCTATATCATTCATACTGCTTCTATTTGCTTCAATATATTTGTAGTCAAGTTGCAGTCAATAGAGCGCTTTCACGTGACGTCACAGATACCATGTTCGTCTACCAAATCTATACATTTTCTATTATCGGGGGTTTACAGTCTACTGAGGTCTACTGAGCAATTTCTTACAACATTTTTTAACGGACCTATGGTATGCACTCTACCTACATCATTCCCATTGTAACTATTCGTTCCAAATTAATAGTTACAATCAACTTGCATCCAATAGAGCGTTTTCACGTAATGTCACATACTCCACGATAGTGCATTTCGATCGAGTCGCGTAGCCTTTTCGCYCGTCAATGACAAGGATTTTTTGAATTGAATGTAATCAGACAAAAGTCATTAAACTCACCCCATCTGTTGCAATGGTAACGATCCTCACATGTACTCTATACATTGATCCTGGTTGTAAAGGTGCGTTGTAGTAACTATTGTAGTACTGACCGTCACCAATCGTTAAGCTTGAGATGGGAACCAAAATCTCTGCGGTGATGTAACTATCATTACCCCTTTGAGCTGCAATGGTAACGTTGACCTCGTTATAAACAAAGGGCGTTGGCTGTCCATAGGTTTTGAAGCGATCTTCGTTATCTCTCTTTTCCACTACCACTTGATAGAAACTGAAAAAATATATGACATTGTCAACTAAAATCACGCTAAAAACACGCTAAATTAGAAGCGGACGCTTAGGCATTTGGCATGAATGAAATCTATTCGTCACTTTTTTCTATTTTTACTAGTAATTTAAAATATCTTTGGCAGCGCGTGTGGTAGGTTGATTCGTTGCGTGGCGGTAGTAGATCATGAAGCTTGTGACTTTTGTCATTTACCATTTGATGGAATAAATCATTACATAAAACCTGTCTTCTCTCAAACATAGTTGTTATGCCTACAGTAAGAAGTGCCTCAGAATATATTTTCCTCAACGCACGCTTTTGCATCCTTTCCAAATCATGCGATAGGTACTGCGGCAAAGAATCATGAAAAACTGGGCATGCACATTCAAGTACTGGACGTATGCATGTTGAGGTGACTGCCTACTTTTGGAAAGAATTTTGATTTTCCGAATTGAAATTTAATGCTGATTCCAAATCTGGTAAGAAAAACTGGGTGTCCCGAGCTTGTTTTCGAGATAGTCAGCATTTAATGGAAGCCTACGCACGAGCTTTTGGAGCAAAAATTGCGCCACCGGAACTGATTAGAAAAAAGATTCATAAGATAATAGTCATTTGCAGACTCTTCTATAATTGCACGAATGAAGGCTAGTCAATCATTCTACAATAATACGTGGATATTTTTGACAAAAAGACAAAGAGATTTAAGATTTGTCATATTTTGTTGGTTCGTTGCTCTTAAAAAATCTCATAAAGTCAAACAAAATTCCCTACAAAAATCTTTTTTTTTAAGTGTTAAAATGTTGATATAACCTAGATTTTAAGGAGTTTATTCAAATAAGCTATTAAAAAATCGAGAGTCCCGTGCAAAATTTGAGGGTTTTGTCCTGTTGAAGTTCAAAACGCGTATGGTTCTTTAATAAAATCTTGTAGATTTTTCAGCGGTTTTTGAGCGCGTTCGTCGTGGGCTAACATAGAGCGTTCAAAAGTAGGCAGTCACCTTAAGGGGCAAAAAAAGAAGCATGTCCTTCAGTGGGACTCTAGCGCGCTTCAGTTGTTTTAAAAAATATAGGCGTGTCGCAACCTTTTTGCATATAGCTTCTATTAAATAATAGAATTGTTGTTTTACCCTTTCAGATGTGATTCAATTTGCCGTTTTTCCTCAAACACGATTAACACCGTTGATTCCGTGATGGCGTTGGTTCCATTTATCTTGAATAATGGAGGATCGGCTGACGACRAAAAGAAAGGTAAGAAAAAACCGAGAAAACTACAATAGCGAAATTGCATGTGCTAGTGAAACAAAATGAACGACAAATGGTAGTAAATTAGTACGAAAGTATTGTAAGATATATATTTTTTTCAACCTTGATGAGTTTTGCACGTGACACCAGCATAGTAGTCCCCAGGGCATCCATAGTTCGTCCATCCACGATGATAGCATTCACTAATCGACATTTCATCGCCATTGCATTCGATTCCACCTATCCACCTCCCTTGCCTTCCGACACTAAATCGCTTTATTCCGGCGAGAGCTGCTTTGTAACCAAGCATTCTACAGATCACGTGAGCGTCTAATATATCCCAGGTATCGTCACAAACAGGTATCCAGGCCCCTTTGTAGTTGACTTCTACTGCACCGGCATTTATTTTCTCGGCACCGACAAGGCGTACAGTTACAGATAATTCTTCTAAAAATGAAATTTATTAATGTTCAGTTTTTTTTACGTTGTTACCATGAAATATGGAGTATAATTGGGTAAAGATAAAGTTAATAAATGGGCAAGAGACGTGTATGCCATGTTCGTTGACGCAGAAAATAAAAATAAAAAATCTAAATCATAGCGGCTATTACGTCACTTCCCACAATATCTCCAAAAGCACATCAAAAGTATCTGAAATACGAGGCTAACATGGATATTCGTATGAAATGACACATTTTTTCGGTTGAATTTGTGGCACTTCTTTTGTATTTCCATGTTAGYCCCGCATTCAAGATGATTTTTAAATGGGTCCATTCTTTTGGTCCCATTTCGAAAAACCAGAGCAAAGTTCCTAGATTATCTATTACCTTTTGTTACATGTTCACACGTGACTCCGGCATCCGCATCATGATTGCAATATTGTTCAACCGAACCATAGTTCACTTGACATTGCTGCAGTGATTTTTCGTTACCACGGCAAGACAAAGATCCGATCCATACAGGACCACTTCCTTTGATATTAGCAGTTCCTGCCCATGTTGCTTTACCGTAGTTTAACATACGACAGATCACGTGAGCATCTGCTAGACCCCAGCTACGAAAACCACAAATTGTGCCCCAGATCCCTTGATATTGAACCTCCACACGGCCTTGGTTAGGAAAGTCCCCGTCTACTAAGCGAACTGTTAAATTAGAATTTTGGGCTGAAAAAAAAGGGATATTGTATAGTATGTAAGACGGACACGTTATGTGACATTTCCGAAATAAAGATCTGATCGCTAGTTTCGAGTTCCAAATTACCACTGTGTTTCTTGATTACAGACTCATTTACTCAGGCTTAGACTCGTATCAGTGTATAATTACTCGCAAATACCAACGGTAAAGTAAAGAATGCACAACTTCAACAATACGAACACTTTGAAACTCGACGGACCTTGACTGGAACACGTGAATATTCTGCACAAACTCGAGGCTAAGCCTGAGCAAATGAGTCTGTAATCAAGATACACAGCGGTAATTTGGAACTCGAAAAGGGTCTATTAACACTCTTTGGGACATAAATATGTAGTTGACTCATCTAGTCGAGTTATAATAAGGTACAAACATAAATCACTTACTGGAAATAGTTTTAGAACTGCACGTTGTAGCCAACACCCATGTTCTTCATCAGGCAACTGATGGTTGCTGAGAGATAGAAGGCGAGGAACGCCTGCTAAAGTTTGATCCCACACATGAGAAAGTTGAAACCGGAGCCCCCCTTTCTGTTATGCTACGGACTTTCCCAGATGGCCTTTCTCTAATCGTATATAGGCAAGACCAAACAATCTCTTTTGGCAATRATTAAACTACACAGGAAACCCAGCAAAATCAAACAGTCTTAAACCATCTTGTGGATGAGGGACACACTTTTGATATTGAAGATGTACGGATCTTGGATACTCAAGAACTTTGGTACAGACTGAGTATCAAGGAGGCCATCTGGGAACGTGTGGAGAAACCCTCACTTAATAGAAAGGCGGGCTCYAGTTTCAAATTCAACTCATGTAAGACGTTGTCTAGCTATTTCCAGTATTTATGTTTTTAAMATACTCTTTGGAACACTTCATCAAGTTTAAGGTTCGTTGGATTTACCTGATAAAGGCTTGCAAACGACCCAAATATCATTGTGACTCTCGCATGCTTTGACTTGGGTTTGGTGGTGTCCACACTGCTGTATTGAAGTCTCAGCACCGCTGCAGTTTGTGACCAACGAAAATCTAAACATGCTGTAGCTTTGTGGTTGTTTGTAACTGGTAACAGCCTGACTATACCCCATCATTTGACATACCACATTAGCATCTTGTAGGTCAAGGGAATCAGCACACACCGCTCCCCACATGCCATAGTACCGTTGCTCAAGTCGTCCAACATAATTGAATATACCACTGGATAGTCGAAATGCTATATTTGAAGAGGCACCTGTAATATTGAAATGCAGATTTAACTTAGTAAGGAATTTTAATGTGCATATACTGATAACCTATCAAAGACTATAACATTAACTTTAATTACCTGACTTGCAAAAAACACCAGCTTTTTTGTTATATGCACAGCTTCTTTGACCCCAGTTAAGATTTTGGCAGCTTTCAATGGATGACTCCTGTCCATTGCAGCTCACAGTCGACAGCCATACGTCTCCAAAACTTTGCATTCCATTGATACTTCCAGCAGCACCAAGGCTGTAACCTAACATTCTGCATATGACGTTAGCCTCCTTTAGATCCCAGTTTGTATCACAAATAGGTTTCCAGTCACCATAGTAACGTACTTCTACGCGACCAGCATTCGGAATATTTCCGTCCTTCAAACGGACTCTCACTCCTGGGGAACCTACGAACAGCAAGAACGCATCTTTTTCGCATTAGATCTGGTTTACACGTTATAATTTGCTTTCTAGTTGCCGGATTACGTGTTTATAAGAATTCATACTTTACATCTTTACCTGATGGTAGACATACAACACCTATGTCTTCGTCGTGACCACAGTTCTCAATTCCCCATCCATTATGGCGGCATTTACCGATTGAGCTCTCATCTCCTCGACATAGTACATTATCAAGCCAGATTTGTCCGGATCCTGATCCAAAATTTTGTGACGCGCGTGCTTTTGGGTAACCTAGCATCTTGCATATAACATTCGCATTATCCAACGTCCAGTAATCATCACAAACTGTACCCCATATACTGTTATAGTAAACTTCTACTCGACCTTCTCTTTGGTTGTTACCACCAGAAAGACGTACTCTAGGAGAAGGGGCTTAAATCAAAAGGAAAGAAGAAAAATGCTAAAGTTGTTTTGTAGTTCATATCTCTGATGATATGTTTCATTCTACCTTTTTAATTATCAAGCCTAGTTTTCGGGCTACTAGCCCATCTTCAAGGCTTACATTGTGTATGCGTTCATGGTATCAACCTTCAAATCTTCAATAAATTAGAAAGTTGAAAAAAATTGAATGTTGATACGTTGATGTCAGTGAACGTTGGTAAAAATATGTCAGTAGCACAATAATGAGAATGAGAATGAGAATGAGAATGAGAATGAGAATG